CCCCCCCCCCCCCCTCCCCGTCGCCAAAAAAATTTCGGTCAGTGTACCATTTTAGGGGTCCAAAACTTTTTCGGACATACCAACATTTTTCGGAAGATCAAACTAATTTTCCAAACATCACAAAATTGACAGAATTTCCCACAAAATTGACAGAATTTATCCCATTTATTTTTATAATAACCCAATATTGCCCGACTGTGAAGCGAATATTGCCCAACTGGCTTTGTTTGCCCAACAAGCTGGGGTTATTATTAAGAGAGATTTGATTGCTTTCACTACTTATTTGGCTTTTTAATGTCCCACTCTTCGCCCGACTTATGTTGAACATTTGCCCGACTTTTCGACTTTGTAATCTTTTTGGGGGGCAGCTGCCCCCCCATCCCGTACGCCTATGGTCCTAGATTTTAGCCAGAATAAAAGGCTCTTGCTTGGCCTTTAATTCATCTATAAGCCTGGTAAGAGATATGGATTTTAAGTTCGAGTGGCAAAAACAATATCTCACGAGTGAGATATTGTTTTTGACACGAGAACATAAATCCATATCTTCTCGCAACCGTTTAAGCACGCGAAAGACCAGTGTAAAAGCGACATTGTATTTTCACGAAATTGTATTTTCACGAAATTGTATTTTCAAAACAACAACATGAAAATGGCGGGAAATTTTCGCATGGGTGAAATACGGAAAATACGCGCACCTGGTCCCGGATGTAGTGACGTATGAGTTCTTACGAGTGTTTTAGTTTCCAGTAAAACACCATTATTGCTGCCTCCAGAGGCTGCCTCGTAGAGGCAGCATACTAATTCTGTCGGTACCAGGCTTTCCGCGAGTTATGTGGAGGAGACAGGGAGAAAAAATCGAGATTAGAACAATGGATTGATGACGTTTTGTGACGTATGATTCGTTTCAGTGCATAACTTCCGGTTTCTTCCCGAATCAGTCTCGTGGTGTGGTTGGCAAGTTTAATACAACAACATTTTTTCAAAAAATATCGAATACTCTTTCCGTTTTGGGTTGTCGTTTCAAAGTAAGTTATCCTGAAATGTTATATGTTTATATTTATCTTGAATTGCTATAGGTTTTACAGTAATATATATCGACTGTATTTACACAGGCCTTAAAATATCGGTCGGTCACGGACATTGTCCGACCCATTCGTGAAATTGTCCGACGTAGAAAGGAAACCACCGGACATTCTGTCCGACCAAAGTGAAACTGAGGTTTATTGTTTGTCCGACCCGAGTGTATTGGTGTCCGACCGAACTGTAGCTTTGTCCGACGTAAGTCAAAATACACCCTAGCCCAGGACTAGAGGTTTGTATGTTAAATGGAAATCAGAGTACTATTGTATAAAAGGTCAACTGGAAATGTTGTTTTAACATAGACGAACGCGGGGCGGCGAGCGAAATGGTGAAGTGGAAAACTGGCTTAAGTTGTCGAAGTCTTTTTTAATACTGCTGTTCTGGAAAGCAAGTTAATTTTGGCTTGGAAATAAGTATGAAAGAAACAAATTATTTAATATCTTTACAAAATTTACCGTTTATTAATTTGTGTCATTCAGACTTATTTCCGAGTCAAAACTGAACTGAAGGTCATCGGACATATGTCCGACCCAAACTCAACGTCACCGGACATTTTGTCAGACGGCCCTGTAAAAGATATTTTAAGGCCTGATTTACATATACAACATTTCTGTCTACAGTATTAAATATGAAGCAGTTAATATATACATCGACTGTACTTACATTTACAACATTTCTATCCCTTCTAGGTGTATATTTTGGTGTGTGTTCGCGGGGATCTTTTGGTCAAATCAAATCAAAGGGGACCGTTCATTTTATATGTTTCAAAAGCAGTGAAGTGTGAGCTCGCTGTACTTGTATTACCAAACTTGCTACTGCGAAGTGTGATCTCGCTATAATATTTATACTAGCGAAGTGTGATCTCGCTAGCTGGGCAGTCGTTGGCAATAATAAAGTTGTTTCGTGTTGTCAAAATATCAAGGTATTGTGTATCAAAAGTTACAAATATATAGGTTGTGTGTCAATAAGAAAATTGCCAATAAAAATAGTTAATATATATTACAGTAAAATGATTATGATATACAGTAAAGCCCCGCATAAAAGTTCAGTGAATTTTGACTTGCTTCACACAATATTTTTTTATATTCTACATATTAAATAGGAACTGTTGTTGCATAAAACTATTGCTATGACACTAATATGGTTGTTGTGACATATATCCAAACTTAAAAAGTTTTTAAAAACTTGTATTTTGGGTGCTTAATTAATTGCCAAAATTTCAGACTAGTGGTTCTTAACCTACTGGTGGGGCTTTACTGTATATCAAATAACTTATGCATAATGAAGTCTCAAGGCTTGATGCCTGCGAGAAATACTGGTCTTAATAGTCATGACCTGGGACAATTTCGATAGTGGCCATTTGCAATTGTTTCATTTTCCTGGGCGATGACTACTATTAAATCGAGCAGTATGATGCCCACATTGGAACACACAATTGTATATAATAATGCTCACAATTTCTTTCTTATTTTATATATAGTCATTACAAATAATGGTCATCTGAAGCTGATGTATTAAACAAAAATGTCAACAAAATAGATTTTGTCTCCCGATTGGCAGATTCATTGTTCAGTTGTTCTACAGTAGGGGTAGCCTTGAAGGTGCCACTAAAATGATACAGTAGTTGGGACAAAACTGACTTCAAAGGGCCTGTTCATATGGGCAAAAGTTATCTCGGTTTAAGGCCCTGTTCACATGATCCCGGGATAAACAACTGCCCCACGACAAGTCATTGACCCAGGGTACTGATATCTTCTGTTCACATGAATAAAGCTAGCGCGCCGGGTCATGCCTATAAATACATTACGCGGGAATCATAAAATATTCCTGCCAACGGGAAATGGTGAAATATTGCTAAATAAAAAACATTCTGATAAATGCAAGTCGTCGTTATTTTTTGTTATGGTATTTACAAATAGAACGTACTAGTTGATTATCAGCCGTACTAAAATGTGCTCAATTCATTGTTTCTGGTTGACCAGATCAAATTCTTTGAGTAACATACTACATGATGTTAGCAACAATTTTATTTCAATATTTTTAGAATCATCACTTATAGATTTCTAATGATATCGTCAATCAAATAACAAGTTTTTGTGGAGTCCAACGTGCTCTAAATGTAATTTTAGCCACGATTTTGATCGTTTCACCAAAATTCAATTATCCCGGGACAGTGTTCACATGAGGAAAAGTTGTCCCAGCAAGGCGAGTGTCCCTGTCTATAGAAGTGAGGCACTCGGGTCAATTCTTGTCCCAGGACAA